TACATCACCAGATAGCATACATCAGATCAAATCACCTACATCCGTCATTGGTCAGAACAAGGCCAATGGCTGACTGCAAAACAGACCAGCAATTGCTCCTTTGCCAAGTTCAAGTTGAAACTGAAGAAACTAAAAACAATTCATCATGACTGTCAGTCTATACCACCTGAATTTAGAGACATTCTCATGAATACATTTAATGCACTGAATACTAATTGGCAAAAATCAGACAAGTGGTGAGAAGACATCAAGGACACCACGCATAAAGAAATCGGAAGATTATTAGAAAGATAGGAATGAAAGAAACAAGCAAAATTATGTCAGAGGATAAAATGAAGGGGACGTGTTGATAAAGTGAAGGAGCTGGGCACAAGGCTTCAAGGGAAACCCCAGAAGACAACATACAGTATTACAATGCAGTACGCAAAAACCTGGAATTGCCGAACCTAGAGGGCAGAATGTGCTCAGTATTTATTTAGATGAAAAAAAATAACAAAAACAATTCAGACCTCAAGTTGCCATGTTGAAGGACTCAATAGTCAAATATCTAATGATCCAAGAAGCATCAAAAAAAGACAGAATGGATAGAGGAGCCACTGTGCCAGAAATAAATTCCGGTGATTGGAGTGCAGAAGTAGGAACCATTTCAGGGGCTTATTCAGCATCTGGTTAATAACCAATGGAATTTCACTGAAAACATTGGCAAAACAAGGCTCTAAGAACTGACATAGTACCAATTGAGATGTTTCCACAAACAGATGCAACACTGGACATGTTCACTGTCCCATGGCGAGAAATTCCAAGCACAGTTGCACGGCCATCTCTGTGCACATTCCAAAGAAAGGGGTGCAACAGACAGAGTGCAGAAATTACCTAACAATATCATTAATGCCACATGCAAGTAAAGGTTTGCTGCAGCCCATCTAAAAACCATTAGAGGAGTACATAAATAGGGAGCTACCAGAAATTCAAGCTTGCTTTAGAAGAGGATATGGAACAAAATATATCACTGTTGATTTCAGATTAATCTTGGCTAGAAGCAAAGAACACCAGAGAGATGTTTACTTATTTTTTATAGACTATACAAAGGCATTCAACTATGAGAAGCATACAGATTATGGATAACACTGGGAAAGATGGGAATCCCAGAGCATTATGTGGAACCTATAAAAAGACCCAAGAAGTAATCATCATTCAAATAGAATAAGATGCTGCATGGTTTAAACGTGGGAAAGGTGTGCATCAGTGTTATATCCTTTCAACATACTTATTCCATTTCTGTGCTGCTCAGATCATCATCTGAAGAAGAATGCAGCATAAGGCTTGAAGAAAGAGCCATTAGGCACCTGCAATATGCAGATTACACAACCCTGTTTGCTGAAAGCAAAGAGGACTTGAAGCACTTGCTGACAAAGATCACAACCCTCACTATGGATGACACAACATAATGAAAACAAAAGTCCTCACCACTGGACAAATAAGTAACCTCAGGATAAATGGAGAAAAGATTGAGAATCTCATTTTACTTGGCTCTCCATCAGCACTCATGGAAGCAGCAGGAAGGGATGCAGAGGGCAGAGGGCAGACTGCAGGAAGGCCTTTACCAAGCGTTCAAAAGCAAAACTGTCCCTTGGAGGACGAAGATGTGCCTGACCCAAGCCGGGATCTTTTCAATCGCCTCCTCTGCGTATCACAGCTAGACAGTGAATAAGGAAAACTAAAGAGGAATTGATGCCTCTGAACTCTGCTGCTGGTGAAGAGTACTGAATACACCAGGGGTTGCCCAAGAACGAACAAATCTGTCTTACTCAAAGTAGAGCTGGTTTGCTCTTGACAAGCAAGGCTGGTGATACCTCATCTCATGTACTTCGGACATGTTATCAGGAGGAACCAGGCCTTGGAGAAGGACATCAGCTTGGTAAAAAATAGACCATCAATGGAAAGAAGACGCTCCTCAACTGGATGGATTGGCACAGTATCTCCCAACAATGGGCTCCAACACAGGAGCCATGATGAGGGTGCACCTGAACTGGGTATTCTTTTCCTTATGTTGGGCATGAAGTTCATGAGTCAAAATTGAGAAGACCATGGCAGCTAACAATTGCCACCACGGTGTAAGCATATCCAAGGTCACCTGTCAAAGCTCAGGGAGGGCATTAATGCTGGTTCCAAGGGTTCTGTTTGCGAGCATCAAGGGAGGGCTGCCCTCTGCTGACTCTCCAGCTCCCCTAGGGCAGTCAGTCGGATGATGGGTGCTCACAGGGTGCATGCTCTGGACCAAACACTGTGCAGTGAGGCCTGAGACACCAAAGAGCCCTCCATTCCCAGATGTTCTGTACCTGTGGGAAGAATCGAGGAGAGGCCAAAGAAAGTGGCCAAAGAGCCAGGTAAAAACAGTGATCAATGAATCAATAATCATAGAGAACAAAAGGAAGACAAAAGAAGGATAAGTGTAAGAGGGAAAACCCCTGGCTCTCCCATTCGGAGGGACGCTATAGGGCAGAGTGGAACTGGCCCATAGGGTTCACAGAAGCAGCCTGGCCCATCTTTCTCACATAGATGTTGCATCTCACAGCTGGGCACTTTAACCACTGTGTCCTACAGTAAGCAAAGGGACAAACCGCCCAGTTCCAGCACTGGAAGAACTCGATTTCTTTAGAATCATCTAGATGACACGCCCAGGAGGGAATCTCTAAATTCAGCTGGAGCTAGCTGCCCACAGCAGCTTTGGGGCGAGACTCCCAGATCCTTCTCCTCTCACCCCCACTCCCAGCCACCACCCCACAGGGTTGACAGGCCCAGCACACGCCTCTTTGGACTTTGATGAACTAAGGAGGGACTTTTGTTCTCTAGCCAGAAAGAGACCTTCAAAGAAAGGTCGGAGCACCTGGAAAACCATTTGAATCTATGGTGAGAACCCCTTCAGCAGCGAATTCAGCTACTTAAGCACTTGCTGACCCGGCGGAGGCCCTCACGTCCCTGAGCTACCAGCTCATTTTCTTTCCGACGCTGAAATGTTAGGGAGGCCTGATGGTGTAGTAGTTATGTGTTGGGCTATGATCCTCAAGGTCAGCAGTCAGAAACCACCAGCCGCTCCAAGGAAGAAAGATGGAGCTTTCTACTCCTGTAAATAATTACATTCCAGGAAAACTCACAGGGGCAGTTGTGCTCTGCCCTAATAGGGTCATTGTGAATCAGCGTCCACTCAATGGCAGGAAGTTTTTTGGTTTGCTTGGTTTTGAAAATGTTAATTGTCACTTTATTCCAAGCTAAATGAAAGGTAACCCAAGTCATGAGGAGGCTTTCCCGATCTTACTCTCAGACATCAATTTATTGTAGACGTACTTCAAAAGCAATTGTGCGGCCCCCCCAACCCCCAAACCACTGTCGTTTCCGGTAAAACTTAAGAATCCTAAAACAGTTTCCTTCTACCTGGTAAGCCCCTGCCAAGGCCTTCCCTTTAATCCCCTTGCCAAAAAAAGCAAACAAAATGAAACAAAACAAAAAATAACCCCCAAAACCAAAATTTCGAGCCAACCCACTGCTGTTGAGTTGGCGATGAAATGCCCCCAAAGGGTTTTTCATGGCCGCCCTCTTTGCGGAAGCACACTGCCGAATCTTTCTCCCTCAGAGCAGCTGGTGGGTAGCCAAGGGCTTTAGCCACTACACTTGTAACCCTCTGCACGTCATCCTCAAATCAAGATGAGACTTCTGGAAGGAAGGGCAATCTAAATTGTAAAACAGAAATACCCCAGTCCCATGTCTGGAGATGCCCAGCAGGCCACAGTGCCCAGCTGAGCCTCTCTCCGCTTCCAGGGAAGCCCTGCCTGCACCCCGGGAACATAATTTCTATGTTTCTTCAGGTTGTCAGCGACCTGGCACTCTCTGGCTTCAGAATCAACTCAGAGCGCAACGGCAGCCATATGCTGCCCATTTCTTGGAGATGGCTTTGAGTGCCAGTGCATGGACCCAAACCTTAAAAGGATGGGCCAGTGGAACAGGGCCACCACAGACAGGAAGGACTGGTCCCTTGGAAGGCTTCCTATAACACAGGGCAGGTCGTCTTCACCCAGAAGTCTATCCTCCTGAATCTTCTTGTGGTCTTAACACTCCGGACTCATCGCTGAGGTTCTGACTGGGTGGATCTGTTGTCTAGACCTGCGCCCAACACGTGGCGTCCTGTGATGAACACAGCAGGGCGAGCTCCAGAAAAGCTTTTTACTTTTGATTTTGTGGCCCTAAAGCATGATGGGAAGGACCACATGTACTGGACCCAAGGCTGCTTCCAAAGCACGCCCCACATTTCGTCTTACTTGGCACTTAGAACTGCTGATCACTAAGGTTCACTTTGATCTGGCTGAGAGAGGTCTGCTTTGAAGCTCTAGACTCCGCTTATGTGAATGAGGCATACCCAGGGAGGTTTCTGTGTTGCTGTTCACTGTGAAAGTCATGATAGTGGGCTAATATCATGACCTGGGATTTTTAATGATTTTTACCCTGTATTTTCACATGTCCTAGAGTGGTTCCGGGTTCGACAGCCGATTTTGCATGCCCCATCACTTCTCTGTTGGCAGAAGTAAGGCCAGAGTGTTCCTTAGAGGCAAGGATGGCAAAACTTCGTCTTACAAACCGTGGACATATTGTCAGGAGAGAGCAGTCCCTGGAGAGGGCATAATGATTGGTAAAGTGGAGGGGCAGCAAAGGAGGGGAAGGCCCTCCACGAGATGGATTGGCACAGCGGTTGCCGCAGTGGGCTCAGGCGTGGGAACAGTTGTGAGGACGCGCAGGACCATGCTCTTCTTTCATTCTGTTGTGCGTAAGGTCACTATGGGTTGGGGCACAGACTTGATGGCACCAAACAACAACCATAATAACCCTTCTCGCAGCCTTTGCCTCTGCTGAAAATAACCTGAGGCTTACAGCTCTGTCGTCTGTGGAACGCAGACCTCCTAGGGCAGGTGAGAAGTGAGAAGACAGGGTACAAATGACTTTTAAAAATTCCTGATTCCAATTCTTTCTTGTTGTTGTGTTTTGTTTTGATTTTTGTTATTGGCTTGTTGGTGTTGGTGTTGTTTTGTTTTATTTTGTTGCTTGGTTTTGCTGTCGTGTTTTTGTGCATGTTACTATCTCCACAGGTCTGTCTAAATAAGATAGGCTGAATAAACAATCTGGAGGAGAAAACAACGGGACAGACAGTTCTGGGGGGACATGGGAGAAGGGGAAGTGGGGGGAAAGGAAGTGGTGTTAACAAACCTAGGGACAAGGGAACATCAAGTGATCCAAATCGGTGGTGAGGAGAGTTTAGGAGGCCTGGTAGGGCATGACCAAGGGTAAAGTAACCCAGAGGAATTACTGTAACCCAAATGAAGGCTGAACATGATAGTGGGATAAGAGGAAGGTAAAAGGAAATAGAGGAAAGAGCTAGGAGGCAAAGGGCATATATAGAGGTCTAAATAAACACATGTATATATGTAAATATATTTATATATGAGGATGTGGAAATAGATCTATGTGCATTTGTGTATAGGTTTAGTATTAA